GAACGATGACATTTAAATGCACATTTTTTCTTTTGAATTCTTGGGTTTGAATCGAAAAATTTTTACAGCAAATCGACTTGCATATAAAACTGAAAATTTGATAGATAAGAGGAAGTTAAATGAAAACTTTCATTTGAACGAAGAACATATCGTTATTTATACAGAAAACAACGAATACAACATGTTTGATATTTTAAATATGATTCACGATATCCGATTAGAGTTTGACTATTAATTTTACGTAAATCCGAAGTTGATACTTTAGGTGTAGTTGTCCTGTCATTATCACATGGATCATATAGTTTTACATCAATAAAGATCATGACCTATTATTGATGCAACATTTAAGTACAGCTATAACTATGAATGCAAATTAATAAGAAAGCAAACGATATAGATCTAGAACGTAGTTTACAATGAAAATATTTGAGTCTTCAGTATCAGAATTAGATAATAATGATTTTCTCATACATGAACTATATGTCGTTGATCAGATATGAAGACTGGATATTTATTAGGAACACACTTGAGATAGAGAACGCTATCGATCTCACATGTAAAATACCGAATAGAACTTCGAATATATGAGAACGTGTAGTATCTTGTATTTTCTTATATCATTCACAAGTTAGAGAAGTTTCCTTCTGTGTATCCATGAAAAAGGTTATAGTTTATTTGATGCTTTCAACGAGAGTTTCTAATTTGAATCTTGTTTTGTCCAATGTATTGTCAGGCAATGAATTTATTTCATTATTTCGAGTCTGATTGAATTGGAACGAAACATTATATTTCAATGTAAGAAAGGAAAGTAAACAGATTATTATTAAGAAGAGTGTTCTTGGAACAATACAATGAAATAGATCCAAAAACTTTGGTACCATTTACAATAGCACAATTTTTCCTCAAATGGAAACTCAATCACTCATATCATCTATAGTTCCATATGGATAAATAACTGAAACAAAAAAAATTAATAAAGTTTTAATCAATGTTATTTGTATGTGTCATTTGTTGATGTGAAGGTTTGATTTAGTGTAGACGAAATCCGTTCAAAATACAATATATTGCTAAGTTTGATTTATTAGTTTTTAGCTCATCTGAATGAATGCAATTATCTACCGTGAAACAGTTTGTAGTAAATGGATGAGTAAATAAAGACTATAGTTTATTTTAGAGTCATTTGTATTCTTTTCGAAAAATGCCATAATATCCTTTTACAAAAAGAAATGTGTTGTCAGGCGCAGAAAGCATTCTTCATTGAACATGTCCCAATCTGTGTCTTCAATCACATGTCTTTTTCATTTAAGAATATACTCTTGTATCCTACGAATGTGTTGGGATTTTAATGAGACATTACAAAGAAAGAGTGTAGATTTAAGTAATAGACAACGAGATTTCTACTGAGTACGTCTTTATTTGAGAAAAATCTCTGCACCTATGATGTCTTTGGATGTATATCGCGTTAAGTCCTTCTCTCCCTGTAGAAAACTCGATTATCGTCAGAAACAAAAAGATCATTGAGATGAACATCTGAACATGTTATCTGGGTTGCTAAGTGTAGGAATTTATCAAAATAGATTTGATTCTCGAAGATTTTCGAAGTTTTATGATGATCTTTGAAACTATCTGGAAAAATAATGATGTTTAGAGCAATCAGTACACTGATTATGTAGAGTTAGATCTGCAGAGTAAAAAAAAAATATTTTTCAGAAGTGATCAGATCTTGTGCATCTTAGTGACATATTTTTGAGATCTCCAATGACTTGATGGTGTGCGTGTGAATTTTATCTTCATCCACACTCGCACGCTCAAAGTTGATGTTTCATATAAAATACAATAGCATATTTCTTATGAGTTACTAATAAAAATAAACCGTCATTATCAACCTTTAAAAAAAGTGTAAAGCAACAAGCGAATAAAAAAAAGACGAATTTGTTATTCTTCTTTCTTAATTATGTTACTGAACGGTATAACAAACATAGAGATAATGGTAGGTGCCATCCTCTATTGTGATATATATCGTACGAAGACAATACAATGGATATAGACAAGTACTTTGATTGATATGTAATATATTTATGCTTTACCTACATTTTAAGTAATGATAGGAAGACTATAAGAAAAAATTCTTGTGCATTTTGCTCAAAATTGATTTGTTTTTCGGTAATAATCGAACTGCGGACAAATTTCTTTTCCTCAATATACTCCATTCTAGAAACCTATGTTCTTTTCTTCTAATCGATAGATAAGTATGCATAATAATCCATCAGACGAGACAAAGGAATTTTCTAATTAATCATCAACGCTAGATAAACTCTGAGTTTTTCAAGAACTCATACTTAGAAATTCCACACTTTTGAAGTTTCGATGATCTGAAAAATGAAATAGAATAAAAATTAAAAAACCCATTGTCTCATCCGAAGTAGTAAGGAGTTCTCTCTCAAATGAAAGCAATCTGAGCTTTGCAGCTTGGTCACTGAATATCTCCTAAATAGTACGGTATAGAAGCGTGACGTTTTTTTTTAGTAATGTACTTGCATGAGTCGAACATCTATGCAAAGTTTCGTCAATGTTTCATGTATCCTGACGAAGTTAGACTTTTCAGAGTGGAGGCCTTACTTAAATTGAATCGGAGTGAAAACAAATTTTTTATCAAGAAAATCTAAAAATTGCCTTGAGAGTCTGTTGTAAAGGCTCACTACAGTACTCTCGAGACATGTCTTTATACTAAAAACATGCAATTTGTAATTAACTATAGTTCCCTATTAACTTGTTCGTGTGAATGTTCTAATTCGAAACTGATGCAACCCTAAGGTGAATAACGCAAAATACTGTCCTTACTGAACTTAAATATTACTGTGTGTACAAACGCTAAAAAACAACCTATACACATCAAAATTATTGAAAATCGTTTGTGCCCAAAGGTCTTCTAAATTGTATTTTGCTATATTTATTCAGGAGATTTCTATCATTTCTAGTGGACTGATCCACTTGTTGCTGAATCAAAACTTGATATCTTTCAAATATAGGATTTATACTACGATTCAGTATATATATCAGCTGACCTAAAAAAACCTCATAAAATAACAAAACTGTTTAGTATAAAGCCGTGAAATGCATTTGATATTTATTCAAGCAATCAATTATAAAAGTACATAGATCAATGTTTTGAATTACCATCCATATCCATAACCTCCACCGTATCCTCCATATGGAAGTCCACCAAAACCTCCGTAACCATAATCAAAACCATGTCCACCGTATCCACCGTGTCCACCGTATCCACCGTATCCACCGTATCCACCGTGTCCACCGTATCCACCGTGTCCACCGTATCCACCGTATCCACCGTATCCACCGTGTCCACCGTATC